AAACTTCCCCCTACCCCCCTCGCACAACAACAACAGCAAAAAAAGAAAACCAGACCTGCTGTAAAAGATGGCGAAGCGCACACGAATACTCGTAGGTAGCCCGCAACGGCTGTGTGCTGTGCAAAAGCAGCAGCAGAAGGAGCTAGAAGAGAGAAGAAGTTCTTGAAAAAGGGAGAATCGCTAGTATAGTGCACACGCAGAGCTTGCAAGCTTTCTTCTTCTTCTTCTTCTTCCTTTCCTGCCGCCGCTATACTGCCGCTGCTGCTCTGGCGCGCGTTTCCGGCTCGAATCCTTGACACCTGGAACATTGCCAAAATACGGAAAGCCGAGGCAGAGACGGGCGCGGGTGGGCGACCGTTGACCCCTCTCTCGCTCTCTCTCTCTCTCAAGCAATGCGCCCAGTAAGCAGGCAGGCATTTGCCACTGCTGCTGCTACTAGCTAGCTGCTGCTGGCGTCGACAGGCAGACACACAAAGTCGTTGAAAATTATTACACTGCTGCTGGCGTCAGCTCTCTCACTGCTGCCGCTACTGCTGCAGTCTCTTCTTCTTTCTGTCTCTTTCCCTCTCTTTTGATGTTGCTTTTCTACACACCTATCCTCGCGCCTAGACTACTACTACTACAACTCGAGTCTAAGCCTATATCAGCTTGTGCGCGTGTACATTAGCGATTCTTGTCTAGTCGTTTCTTTATTTCTTTTAGTCCCCCCCCCCCCCTCTCCCCTTCCCCAACTGCGACTGGTCGTGTGGGTGCGAGGGTTGTTGCAAAAGGAGGATTATTGTGTGTCTCTTTCTCGCTCGTATCTCGATCTCTCTGGATAAACAAGCCCTCCGACAAATGTTTCCTCTCATTTAGATTTAGCCTTGGCTGGCTGGCTGGCGAGCTTTCAGCAGCACGGTACAGCACGAGAGAAGAAAGTGCGAGATAAAAAGAAAAGAGTAAGAAATAAAATCCGCTACAGCAGCAGCAAGTTTCGACTTCGAAATCCGATTATAGTCAACGCTCTTAGAAGTTCGCGTCTTAAGCGGCTTTCTTCCCCACCACCCCCCGCTTTATGTCGAGCGCAGTGCAGCAGTAGCAGCAGCACCACCAGAGGAAAGCTAGTGGATGAAAATTGTGCTGCTCACCACGTGACCGAGTAGGTAGAGGCCTTTCTTTCTTTCGACGACTAAAACTTGGGATTATAGGTACGGAGCAGACGTAGTTACGTTTATAAGCCGGCCTCTCTTTCGCGCGCGCAAGCAACAAATTGGGTTGAATCGAGTTCAATGAATTAGCAATCGAGTGCTCACGGCCGCTGTGTGGTATATCGAGCTGCTTGTTTCTGTCTATCTCTCTCTCTCTCTCTCTCTCTCTCTCTCTCTCTCTCTCTCTCTCACTCACTCGCCTATTCTCGTCCATTCGATTACAGAGAGGGACAGTATCAATCAAGTACGCGTTTCAAATCAATCTCCTATCTACTAGGCTAGCCTCGCTGTATACAGGGGAGAATCGCCGGGCACGCGTTTATAGTCTGCCCCCCGACGCGAAAGCAGCGTCCAAGTTGCATTCTATACGACTCGACTCACCCCAGCTCTGGTATATACAGCAGCAGCTCTCTAGAGCGATGCGTTCTTGGCAGTAGAGATCCCTTTCTCTCTTCCTCTTTGGCTCGGCTGTGTGCGGGTGCCGGTTAAATTTCGACGCGGAGGGGCTGCTCACGCTAGGCGCGCGAGCCTGTATAATTCGCACGGTGTCAGCAGTTGCGCGCAGCTGTCTAGCTCGTGTGCGATTAAAATTAGCGTCGCGGCGCTGGTAATCGCAAATTCGATCATCGCCTGAACTAGTGTATAACAACGACGTGCGAATCACATACACTCGCACACGAGCCATGCTGATAGCTGCAGCGAAATGATTTTATTCGCGCACACGAGCGCATTCGTAATAGTTTTGGTATTCTTCTCTCGTAAAAATGTGATGGCGTGATCGTGCCGTTGCGATTATAAATCTGTTTTCGTTGATCGTTGAAGTTTTTGTTATGAGGTGATCTCTAGATTGTGAGTGGGTCGGGCGATGTTCATGAATAATTTTTTCTAGACCAGGATTTTCTACTTTGTTATGAATAGTAGCTACGTAACAATTGATTATTGGCATTTCAAAAATTGGTTCAACAATAATTCATGAACAAATGAATTGAACAACGAGTAATAATTTGAAATATTTATTGTTAGTCACAAAATTGAAAGATATCCATAAGATTTTTGAAAATTACATAACGTACTTATGTGAGTTTAGAAATCTATAATACACCCAAATGTCTCGATACGAATCTTACTCTCCTAATGTTTGTTCCAATTGTGTATTGAATCCATGTGAATTTTCAAGGTTTGACGGTATCTAAATAATAGTTGTGACAAATCTTACATATGGGTCAGATTCAGAATTTTTCAAATAAACCTGCGGGCGAGGTTCACGGATTTTCCTGAAATTTTGGTATGTTATAGTACATGATAAAAAAGTGCCAAAACCAAAATTTTGGACCCCCTCCCCCCTCCTACCCCCTCCTCCCCTATAGACGTCCATTTTCTATCTATATTTTTTCTGAAGGCCTGAAGCTATTAAAAAATCTGAAAAAATTCATGAAGGTACTTTTCAACAATCCAAACAATCTCAAATTTTTTCAGATTTTTCGAGTGCTTCAGGCCTTCAGAAAAAATCATTGAAAATTTAAATTATTTTATTTTCGGTGAAATGGATCGATATACCAGACCGGAGTATTTTTTTCTGAATTCTGACGTCAAAAAACGATTCCTTGAATTTTTTCAGAATTTTTCATTCATGTCCATTCAGCCTAGAGCTGAAAAACCGCTTTTTTTCACGAAAATAATTTTTTTAAGGCGCTACGGAGCCTCAAAAAATCTGGAAAAAATTTTTTCTCATTTTGTTCATCAAAATACATAATCTCAAATTTTTTCAGATTTTTTAATTGAAGGCGATAGCGTCTGGAGCCGAAAAACGTTATTTTTAACAAAAAAGGTTCCTGGAACCCGATGGTTCCGGTAAAAAAATTTGAAAAAATTTTTTTTGAATTCCTTGTCAAATTTTAATAAATTTTGACCGTCGCAAAATTTCGATTGGAGCTTCCTAGCTCATTCTAGAGCATAACAAAGATTCGAGCGAAATTCTGAAGAAATTTGAAAAATAATGTAATTGTGATGAACGTCTTCAGAATTTCGCTCGAATCTTTGTTATGCTCTAGAATGAGCTAGGAAGCTCCGATCGAAATTTCGTGGCGGTCAAAATTTATTAAAATTTGACAAAGAATTCAAAAAAAATTTTTTCAAATTTTTTTAGTGGAACCATCGGGTTCCAGGAACCTTTTTTTGTTAAAAATAACGTTCGTCGGCTCCGGACGCTATCTCCTTCAATTAAAAAATCTGAAAAAATTTGAGATTATGTATTTTGATGAACAAAATGAGAAAAAAATTTTTCCAGATTTTTTGAGGCTCCGTATCGCCTTAAAAAAATTATTTTCGTGAAAAAAAGCGGTTTTTTAGCTCTAGGCGGAATGGACATGAACGAAAAATTCTGAAAAAATTCAAGCAATCGTTTTTTGACGTCAGAATTCAGAAAAAAATACTCCGATCTGGTATATCGATCCATTTCACCGAAAATAAAATAATTTAAATTTTCAATGATTTTTTCTGAAGGCCTGAAGCACTCGAAAAATCTGAAAAAATTCGAGATTTTTTGGATTGTTGAAAAGTACCTTCATGAATTTTTTCAGATTTTTTAATAGCTTCAGGCCTTCAGAAAAAATATAGATAGAAAATGGACGTCTATAGGGGAGGAGGGGGGTAGGAGGGGGGAGGGGGTCCAAAATTTTGGTTTTGGCACTTTTTTATCATGTACTATAACATACCAAAATTTCAGGAAAATCCGTGAACCTCGCCCGCAGGTTTATTTGAAAAATTCTGAATCTGACCCATATATTGATGTGAGATGTAAAATTACTTTTTGGTCCCAATGATTCGTGACAAATATCGCATTTAAAGGATTTTCCCCTATTATGTACTCCGTTTATGTGAGTATTGAGCGTACCTTTTTTTTACCTGATTTTTGTTCAAATGAATGCTGCATTGATATGTTTATTAAGGTCACCCTTGTATGCAAATGATTTTTGACAATTGTCACATTCAAAAGGCTTTTTACGCTCATGTACTATTCTTATGTGAATTTTGAGACTACCTTTCAATCCAAATGATTTTTGACAAATATCACATTTAAAGGGTTTGCTACGATCATGTACTGGATTCCAGGCGCACAATTAGCTTTCCCATACATGCGATATATGCAGAGAAACAATTATCGAACAGAGAAATATAACTAATATAGTGCATAATGATATTTACACTTGTGATTTTATTGAAATGAAACTCAATTAGTCATTGGAACTGCAGGGGGTAGTTGAATATTTGCAGGAGTTGGGTCAATAATTTTAGAAAGTATATCTCTTGAAAAAATTGAAAAAAGGTATTGTTATTGATCGTTGGATTTAGCGAAATGGCGTTTGTCGCACCAAGCGTGAGTTTTTTAATTTCCCATAATGTAATAATATCATGATAAATATTTTTAACCTAAACAAAAAACCATTATTTAAAGCGTTTCAAAATAAAATATCATTAAATGATTTGCTTTTTGTTTTTATATTCAAAAAACATTATAGAGAAAATGTGTCTAAAGAGTTTAGCCCAATTTTCGATCACACATAATGCGACAATATTAATTCATGTCTCCACGACTAGATGTTGATTTACCTTTATCTGTTTATCTGCAAGCGACAAAGTCAAAATAATTGTATAAGTCGTAAATAGATTGTACAGTAGTTCGAATTTCTGTTTGTATCTTCTACGTAATCAATACTTACTTAATATAACACAGAAGTATAGAATACACAAAGTAAAAAAATTGTCATCCGTATTATGATTTCGCCTATGACCATTCTCGTTCTCGTTTTGCAGATTGAACTACCAGGCGGTGGGCCTGAGGCCGTTCTGGTATCACGGCACGAACGTGGCGCTGCACGCGGCGGCCTGCATGCTGGTGACGCGGGTCAGCCTCGCGGTGGCCTCGCTTCGACCGGGCTTCGCAGCGCTCACCGGCCTACTGTTCGCCGCCCATCCCATTCACACGGATGCCGTAAGTAATCAATATACATACTGGCACATGGTACACGCAACTATTATTATCCTTAAATTTTGCGGGATAATCTCTCCACGCGCATAAAGGGCCTAGACGCTGCGACTATACACTGGCCGCTCGTCGATAAAGGCATTATACGGTGCCTGCGAGCGCGCGCGCGCGCTTGGATGGTGTCGATATCGATAAGCGCGTATTCGCCTGGCACACAGCTGGCTAGTATATAGGGTATCGACTGTGCCCTACGCTGTTTTAGCACATGCACGCACTGTAGGCTGCACAGCCCAGTGCTGTATACTTCGAGGATGATCCGCGTAACTTCGTCCTCGTTGTCAAAATAGACTTTTCCAATGCCCCCACGGACGCCAAGCACGAAGGCGAAAATTAAAGCTCAACACGCGGTGCAGTGGGGCCGGGTCAATCCTCGTCAACAATAACAAGCGTGGCAGGCAGGCATGCAGGAAGCAGTGGAGCTGTTTTGTTTACTGCGATTAAGCTCTGTGCCGGGCGAGCGGATCGGCTCTCTCTCGACGATCGAGCTCCGAGAGCATCGTGGTGGTCGTTATATAGTTCACAAGCTGATTGTGCATTATATAGTCGCACACGTGCGCGTGTGTGTGTATCGTATACGTTAAATATATGAACTTTGAAATCATACATGCGTGTATAATGAGTGCCACAATTGCGCACAGAGAGAAATGGTACATTAGAGAACAAGAGGCGACGAAAGAGCGTCTTAATTTTGCGCTTTTATACCGCGTGCGTTTCATTAACTCGGACTTTCTCCATCTGTCGTTATACATAATAGAAATACGCCAAAGTATGCATTCATACTCTCTAATTCTCTTTCTCGTGCATCTTTCTCGTATATATAGACTACATAAAATATAAACATGCTCTGTATAATCGTACGTATAGCGCATACATGTGTGCGCGTCAGCGAGCATATCTTTGTGGGACACACATATATTTCTCTCTCTTCTCTCTCCTCTCTCTTTTGTCTATTCCGTAAATATTCCGTGCACGCAACATAACGGCCGCAATACATACACACGCGCGCGTGTGCAAGCTCGAGTAAAGAGCACGAGAAAATGCCAAACGGAGCAGAGACGGGAGCTTGCGAGCTTGCAAAATTCATTATATTCCACGGGCAGAATAAAAAAAAGGGTGAGAAATAAGTTTACCCACGTATATAATATATACTATGTATTTATACCTAAGAAGACTCCGTCGATTTTCATTTCATATAATTATATTCGCAGTATTATTATACATAGCTTATGGGTGAACTACATTATATGCAGCACGTATACATAGTCGAAGCAACAAAGTGTATGCGGGGTATCGACCAAACGGAATTATTATATCGCAAGCTCTCTGTCGCTAGAGCAGCAATGCGCCGCGAGCGACAAAGTTGGTTACAGGTATATAGCAGTGTGCAGTGCAGTATCAGATAGTAGTATATATAGTGTATAGCGCATCGCAACAGTTCCGTCACTTCTGAGCCCGACGGCGACGCGGCAACGACTACGACGACGACGACGACGACGACGACGACGACGACGACGACGACGAACGACGACCCGCGATATTGAACACTATACTAATTTGACGCGTCGCAATCCTCGATACGCGCGTAGCAGCAGAGGCTGTGTGCATCTGCAGCAGCAGCAGCAGCAGCCCCGTACTTATAATACGTGCGTGAGCGTCGTCGTAGACACAACTGTGTATAGGTATACCGTGGATACGTAGAATTGCCACCCATCCCGAGTAAAGCGCATATTAGAGATTGCCATGCCACGCGATGCGTCTCTAACTAGATATGCGATGCAGCAGCGGTACAACATACACACACAGATGGAGAGAGAGAGAGAGAGAGTTAGAGCTTTGGAGCATGTATACAGCAGCAGGCAAGAGGGAGAGTAAAGTGTTCGCAAATCATTGCTCGTGCCACCCTCCCCGGTAGTTGCCGCATGCTGCTGGACCCCACCAGCCGTTTACTACTGCTAGCTCGTCGCAAGCTCGTCTTGTGTATAACGACTACTCTGTAACTCTCTATCCTTGTAGTACGTCTTGTCTAAAGATCAATTTGCCATGTGTTTCGTCGAGTACGAAGATAGAGAGAGAACGAGGCAAGCAGGCTGGCGAGGTGCACACACATACACACACACACACACACACACACACATAGACACACAAGTTAGAGTGCACACGCAAGCAAGCACACACGCTCGCACACTCGGCGGAAGAGCATCTGTTTACAGGAATGATCGAGTTACCGAAGGAGCTGTAGTACGCGCGCCGTCGTCTCTGAGCTGCGCTGCTGTCAGAGCTCTGTGCTGCAGGTATCATGTGTGTGCGCGTATGTATTCGTATTCGCGTATGTACGTATTATACGTAAGTGTATTTGGACTGATGCTGCTTTATGTATATTATAATAGCATAATTGAGAGCAACTGCGGCTACTGCATATACTCGCGCTTCTGCATGCTGCAACTTGATTAAATTGAATCAACGGCGAACGCGCGCACCTTCGAACGGATGCGCATTTGCGCGTGTTACCAGCTTTGACGAATAAAACTGCCATGTTCTTTATAGACCAGATAGGCATGTTTGGCCAATTACGGATCAAAAAATCTGTACACACGAGGATGCTTCGCCAGTTGTACAATCGAGTAACCGCAACTATGCGGTCTGCGTATATACAGAACAAAAACCTAATAAAAAAAGTCCTATATATACTACAACAGTGCGTCGAGCACTTAAGAAATGTTGATTACGCTCGAGAGTATATACGCGGAATAAGCTCGTAAAGCAAAAGCGAATAAGCGGAATAAGCTCGAAAGCAGGGATAAAAAAAAGCAGGGGAAAAGAAGATATAGTGCATTGTCGACCCGCAAGCTCTACAGCTACCCGCTTTAAGGGACGTTGCAAGACCGCTAGAGCTAGATATATATAGCAACGTACTGTACTGCACTGCACAACCAAGCGTATTATATAGATACTTGCAGCGAGAGGAGGAAGAAGAAGAATTTAACGTCCGTCGTGTCCGCGCGCGCGGTTAAAGGGAAAAGAGAGTATCATCATTCGTAAGCCGAGCTCACTTTCTTTTACTTGACATCGATACAATGTTCGCTTGTGAATGGGGGAAGGACAGGGCAATGTTCACGGATTGCAATTGTCCTGAGGTTCCGATGATAGCCGGTCTACAGATTGAACACACAGCTCTCTCTCTCTCAATGGGCGACTCCTCTTTTATGGACCCTTGACACCTCCGAAGCTTTTATTTTTATCTCTTCTCCGCGGTGGTGGCCATCGTCGTCGTTTTCTTTCATTATCCCGAAAAACGGCCGCGCGCATGAAAGGATCATGATCCTCTTTTGTATCGTTACCCTCTTTTCAATGCCCTCTTATTCGAACATTATCGCGGTTCAACCATATCTCTTAATCGTATACCCTCTTTCGGACAGCTTTCGAGAGAAAAAAATTCTCCCATTAAGTTCGAAAGGGGATTTATAACACGCTCGCGCGAGCACAAACATCGTCGACCGGCCCCCGCAAGATGAATAATACGAATAAGTTTTCGCGAACTATGCAGACTCTGCAGCAGCAGCACAGCAGCAGTCCGAGCTTGCACGAGCTTTTTTCTGACCTATCTTTGTGGTTTGTAAAACTGCAGCACGAAAATAGTTCTCAGCTGGTTTTGCTGAATTTTTCAAACTCTACTACTCCGTGGTGCGTAAGCTTCATATATTTCATCATCAACCTCGTCGTGCTCACGTACATGAGTAAATACCAGCCTTGGTGCGATAAATTTTTAAATCAGCGCGCTTGGTTGCAGCTTACAAAGAAAAAAAAAGAAGTCTTAATTGTCCATCGAGCCTTGGTGTAAAACTAAAGCTCCAGCACGAAAAAAAGGCCAAAAATATTTCCTCGTATAGAATGTACGCACGTATAAAAAGAGAGAGAGAGAGAGAGAGAGAGAGGGACGCGCCTCGCGCAAGTTCGACGCTTTTAGCTCCGCGAGAATCCCAGGAGAGATTCGAAACAAATTTACTGGAAGCTCATCTCTCTTTCCTCTTTGGACTAAAATATCGTGCGCGCACACACACAGACAGACACTTACACACGTAGGCGCGTAGAGAGAAAAAGTACTGCTCTCTCGGCATCGCGCGAGCTTTTCGTCCATCTTACACGAGACTTAGAGTTGGTATGGTATATATATACGCACATGCATGTATGCATGTACACGAATACACATCAAGGCTCTCTCGACTCAAGGCTTTCCGTACTAGTCTAGTCTAGTCTTCTCTCTTTCTCTTTCTCTGAAGGCTCTCTCTCGCGCACGCGTGAGCTTGCACCCGTTTAATGTATGTAGATACGGCATCTCTCGCTCACTCTCTCTCTCTCTCTCTCTCACGGTGTTGTTTCGTTCCGAAGTTTAATTGAAATTTCCGGAATTTCCCTTGGGCTTAAGATAACTGACTGATGCTTGTTTTAGCAACTTGAATATTTTATATTGTTTCTCATCCCTTTCTCGCCACCGCCGCCGCCGCCACCTTGCCGTCCAAGTAAGTAGTAGCTAGGTATAGTAGTCAGGCAAGCCAAAGCCAGAGCTCTTTATACTCGTACCTATATACCATGAGCTTGCTGCTATCCGCAAGTTTTGCGTTGATGCTCACTATGCTCGTGCTTCTCTCTCGCACTGTTCATTTCGTCTGCAGCTAATTACTCTTTTACGCTTACTCTCTCTCTCTCTCTCTCTCTCTCTCTCTCTCACGAAAGTTTCTTAGCTTCGAGTGAGCGAGGGAGTGAGTTGTGCACAACACACACACACATATATACACACGCGCTCGCACAGGTACAGACAGACGGCAAAGGCCGAGCGCGTCATCAAAATTTATGATTATTTGCCCAATGATCCGCGTTAGCTGCTACTACGTTAGAGTTTAAAATAACGCGCGAGCGTAAGCTCGACAACAACTGTAAGAGCTTGCAGCACCAAGAGAGAGAGAGAGATAGAGAGAAAGAAATTTGTACCGGTTCGCTCGCTTAGTTAAAATTTAATATAATGTAGGAGCTCTGAGAATGAGAGGACGAGAGGACGAGTGCGCGCATAGTTGAGCACAGTCGTCGAGTAGGAAGAGGCTGCTTGCGATGAGAAACGAAGTGCCTACATTTCTTCGCTCAATGACCCTGGCAGTTCTCTCTCTCTCTCTCTCTCTCTCACACACACACACTTCTCTGCCACTTCTGCCAACGATTTTTCCCTTTCATTTACTTCACACTGTGAGAGAGAGAAATTTACGTCGGATGACGACGAAGACGATGGGACGATCTGGGTGAGGCTGCTGAGAGTGTACCCTTACTTATATATAAGTCCGAACCTTCATTATCGCCCGGCTATCGATTAGGTCGAAGCTGCTAGTGCTGCTCTGCTGCAGCAGCAGAAAAGTCGAAGAAAGAGCTAACGGTGCGGAGCTAAAGAGCACACGGAATTTAAAGTGATTTATCTCTGATTTATGTAGTTTTTATATATACATATCTCTCTCTCGCTCTCTCTCTCTCTCTCTCTGTACGCACCGAGTGTATGTATATAAAACAAGGAAGAATAAAAGGGACACGATCTAAAGAGAAAAAAAAATTCGAGTAAAAAAAATTGTTCAAGTAAAATACGAAAAAAAAACTTTGACAAACTTTGCTTGTGCGCACTCGCGGCGGTGGTAGTGGTGGTGGTGGTGGTGGTGGTGGTGGTTATTCTTTTCGTATAAATTAAGGAGCCTTTAAGGAAAAAGTTTTTTGTCCCCATAACCCTGCTGCCGCCGCTGAATCTAAGACTTTTATTATGAATACTCCATTCAAGCTAAAAAATTATTACTCGTAGAGCTAGAGCTGCTGTGTGCGCCGTTGCTGCTTTTTTTACTTCTTTTTATACGCCGGGCGACGGCGGCAGCGGCTTAGCAAGAAAAAGCTTGTTCCACGCTGATTTTGCAAATGAATTTGACCGATTTTTCGCTCAGATTAACGCACAAAACGTCACTTTCGCAATGTAATAGCAGGCAGTCGCGTGAGGCGAGCAGGCAGGCAGGCAAGTGTATATTTTATAATAAATAATTAAGCGTTTGCTCGGCTGCTACGTGCGGTGTTGTACTATATAGTCGCGTGCGCCACGAGCTTATAAGCGAAAGAGAACGTTTATCCACTTATGCGTGTATTTTACGGAAAAGGGCGAAGGAAGGAAGGAAAAAAAATTTAAGATGATAAGATTCATCCACAAAGTCATATCGTCATCTCAGTATGGGAGTGGTGAGTTATATAATACATGCATGGGAAAATGTAAATGAGTTTCGGCTGTAAGTTTACCTGTATAAGTAAAGGCTAGTCTTCAAAAGTCTTCATTATACTCGAGGAGCGATAGCATCTCCCACGCACCCACTCGAGTACATAATACCCATGAATCAGAGAAAATCAATTTATTCATCATATGAATAAGGTACTTCGTCACTTTTCGGGAAATGAATATGTTCCTGCGTCGATTTGTTTCGCAAGAATTAGGTGTTATATATATAATGGTCTTATCTCCATTACAGCTGCGCGACTAATAACTTACACCACTCAAACGAGCTTCGAGTTCTCGCGCGCGAACACAGAAAAGCGTAAGCTCCTTTTTACGGCGGGCACCTTTTTAAGCCTTTAATCTTTTGCTGATTGTAGCGTGAGCTGTACATAAAAAAAAAACACGTTAGTAGTACAGAAAAAAGAGCAGCAGCTGAAAGAAAAAAGTAGAACAAACACGCGGGCTTTTTTCACAGTGTGTTGTTATATATCTGTAATGCTTGTTGTTTTCCTGCGCGCTTTTACAAATACAACGTCATTACGGCATCGATTTCCTTTTTTCCATCTTTTTTTTTTCATTCGTTCGACAACATATACAACAAGGACGACTCGCAGCGACTCGTGGCGCGCGTAAAAAATTTCATACACGCGCGCGTGTATATAAAAAGCTCGAAACGAAACAATAAGGCAACAAAAAAAAGAGGAAGAAGAAGGAAGAAAGTAGCTGCAGCAGCAGGAAAAAAAGGAAAGAAAAACTATAGTGTCACGCAATATTCGCAGTGCGTAAAATTTACGAGAGCTTCAGCCGTAAAGTCGGAGAGAGAGCTGCAGTACGCGTGTGCTGCAGCAGCAGCAGCAGCAGCAGCCAGTGCACGCGCGTATAATCTAAATTTGTGAGCGAACCATCCCAGGCAGAGCTCCGCACGCAGAGCTTCGAGTCTCGCCCCCGGGTTTATACTCGCGAGGTGTTTTTAAGTTCTTTTGATCCGTCGCGTAAATAAGCTCGACACGGGGCGAGTAGCAGCGAACGAACGAACTTTTTCAGCGCGCGGAGGTGTATATTTTTGACGCGCGCGGCTGTTCGTTCGAATTTTTTTCTTGTCTTTTTTCTTTGTTTACTTTAATTTTTCGGCCTCGGGGCTTTCGTCATTTCCGTATCTGTGTATGGGCAGATGTATATAGTGTTAATTTTTTAACATATATAGCCCTGTACGACGATAAATTTAGTTACCTGAGGAGAATCAGAGAAGAGCTGCTTTTGGTTCTATTAAAAAGAAAAAAAACATCAGGCAGACAGATATTCAAGTATAAAAATGAAAATTTAAATAATATTGATTCTTCGCACTGGATTAAAATTTGCAGCCGGCATTACGCGTGACGATATACATCATCAACAAGTGTGTCGTTTTATACAAAATAAACAATCGAAACCGGATGAATTTGAAACCAACAATGTTAATCAAGCGCGTCACACGTCATGCAAAATCAACTCCATTTGCGCAAACAAGTCCGGGCTGAAGCACAAATGAGTCAAAAGGATTTGTAACGGGATACTTAAATAAATATAAACCAGCTGTTTTATGATGATTGTGACGATTCATGCGCATGAGATCCGAATACGCAAATTAGTTGTAAAATTGTTTTTGCGTTCTAAGTCTCATGTTGCCCTCTTTATATCGTAGTTCATTGACAACATTAAAATTATAAGACATGGTACAGTGCACGCTTATAAAACATATAGAAAAATGAGAAAAATACCATTCGGTGCCTCTAGTCATTTCTATTTGTTGTGAACATTGCGTATTATGCATCTAAATAATACGAAGAAATATATTATCAAATGATTTTAATACCTAAATAATTTCAATTTGAATGAATTGAAAACCGCGATTTCAATATCTAACGTCATATACTTTCAAATAATCACGTTGAAAAAGAAAATTTTACGTAGAAAATGTTACGTTTACTCGGAAATGTCACATTTGGTGGGTAAAACAATCAAAATTGGTTTCCATACTAATCTTCTTCTCGCCGAATTTTAAATTCCAGTAGGTCTTTCGTGAGTTTTGCTGTTTCGCTCGATAAATTCCTAAAATTCAGTCTTATCATAATCATAAATCCTTTTAAAGGAGTAAAATATTTTTTGTAGAAGTTCGTTACCGTACTTTACGTTTACATCGTAATAATTAGCGTCTTCCCAACGATTCGATTTCACGTGCTCATCCAGATGATATCTTGACGATAGCATGCCGAAACACCGAGGATCTTGATAATAATTTTGGGTTTGGCTGTAACTGGGCTCCATCGTACTTGTGTTTCGTCTCGGTGACTTATCCTCGATTTTGTAATTCTTCGGATTGTGCGTGTCTGGTGTACTTTTATTTTCAAATAAATGTTCGTTAGAAACTCCATTGTATACGAACTCGTTAAGAGCATCGAGATGATTGTTTTTGTATCGCTCATTCTGACGATAATCGTGGATCTGTAAAATAAACGTTACACTTGACTCTCTATACACATTGGAAATTATCGACAAAAAAAAAAAAAATAAATAAAAATATTAAATACATACATAATCAACGATGCGAAAAACATTGTCACGGTAGTACTTCTTCAGATTCTTCATTTTTCTTCTCGACGTTAATTGTTCCGCTTCAAGAATAAAATATAATTAAATAATAAAAACGAGCTATGCGCGTATCTTCGTTAATCACTTATATTATCACGATACACTGTATAAAACATAAAGAGAATCAATAAAGCGAGCGAGAGAAAATGTATCACGCACACCTCTGGCCCTAATACGCGAAACGTAACGTATATATAAGCGAAGAATGTAAACACACGCTGTATAATAACCACCTCTGATATTAGACAAATACAAGCTCGGAGCTATATCGCGCGCGCTGGGCTCGCTACTATACTACTGCTGCTGCTGCTTCCTAATGATACATGTACAAATTTACACCTGTAAACGCCCGAGCACTTAATTGCCATTGTTATAGCTGTATACGTACACGAGAGCCGCGATACAAGTGTGCGTATGTGTATAGCTTTGTGTCTAAGCCCGAAAGATAATATCTAAGAATTTATGCGCTCATTAGAGATGTGTGTATGTATGTAGTCTCGAGCGCGCGATACATGTAGGGTACTGTGCAATGCAGTATATATAGTGGTCACCCGCGAGCGAAACAATGAGTGATGCGCCACGCGTCGAGGAAAAGGAAACGAAGCTGGTGCAATTGAATGAGCTTGAACGCGCGCGGTATTATCGTGGCTAAATGGCTGCGCAGCATGAACCATATCTTTTTAAAAAAGAGAAAAAAGGTAGCTCATATCTATGTACGGGGTTTATAAAAATTGCGGTGTTATAGTGATTCATTCATGGTCACATATATACTCAGCTTAAACAGCGATCCAATATGCATAGAGCATGGATAGATGTATATTTAGCGGAGAGAGAGAGAGAGACGCCGGCCAAGAGAGCTTGCTTTTGAAAAGCCGATATCGCGCTTGCTAATACGCGCGTATGCCTTTGGCTCCCCCGAACAATTCCCGAACAGCCATCGGATCTCGGCCGCTGCTGCTCTAGCTCTTCCTCCTACATAAACGCGTACATATACGCGTATGCGTTATATAGTGCAGCAAGTATAATCTATAGCTTCGTATGTGTATGTGTGTCTGTGTGTATTATCCAATGGTTCAAGCTCTGCTGCTTCGGCTGCTGCCGCGTTTACGATGATAAATTATGAGCAAAAGTTTCGAGCTTGGAAAATAGCCACTACTACTACTAGCCCTTTGCAGACTATATAGCCCATTAAATGCTGTCTATAATATGTATATCGGGCGTTATATAGGATAATAACTGCGCGCGCCCGAATGAGGATATCTGCGTCTACGAGAAAAGTACACGGAGCTCCTCTTCACGTCATTATCTCTCTCCTATATCTCTGCGAATATCTTTATCCATGTATCATAGTATCGTATCCTCCCAAGTGGGAGATCGCTTTATATATCGTACTCTATAAACCGAGCTCTTTGTAAGAACTTTATCAAGTGGGATACGTATTACAGTTATTCATATTCGAGTTTCACGAGCTGCTGCGAGCTTTAATATATATTCGAATTATCGTATCGTTTATACATACGCGATGCTCAAAATCTGCGAGCTATTGGAGAAATTGATCGACGCTTAATGGAGTGTAAGTTTTGCTCGCTATATATAAACTACTACTGCTATACGTGGGCAACTTTGCGCACCAAAAAAAAGAGATACATGTCGTGCGGTTATAGTGTAGTTTGATGGTATGAATAATAAACGGATGTGCCCCCACCGCCGAATGATCGATCATCTTCGAGTTGACTGATTGTCTCTTGATACGATCGCGGCGCCGCGCAATTGATATCAATTCGGGAAAAGTTACGAGGAAAATACAAAGCTCTAGCTGCATAAGTCAAACTGGCCTGGCCTGCAAATTCCGCTGCAGCTGCGGAATATACCCTGCTCGCTGAAAATTTAAATCTCGACTATGTTATATAGAAACGGCTGCTGCTGTTATATCGCGGGCCATGAGTTCGAGACAAGGACAAAGAGAGAGAGAGAGAGAGAGAGAGAGATACGTATACGCCGTAAGACCAATGTCAGACTGTCAGAAGCAGGCTTAACGGAGAGAAGCCGAGTGTCGCCCCGTCGCCTCGTCGACGTCGTCGTGCTCGCTAGACGTGCAAGAGCGAGATAGCAGCGGCTCGGCATGGCGCGCGCGCGATGTAATATAGAGTTTCGCTCGGGTACTAGGATACTCTCGGCCCCTTTTGACTCCCTCACGGGCTGAAAATCACATTCATCTTTTGCATTAATAACAGCTCTCCAAGGCGGCTAGGTTGCTGCCGCCCGCGCCGATGCTTCGCGAGAAGAGAGTACTTGGCTTTAATTCGCTCGCGCACGGCTGACCTTATTTTTACACGTACTACTACTTGGCGGCCCCTCCACCCGTACCGACGACGACAACGACGACGACGACACATGCTAGGCTAGGCTAGGCGCTCTCGCTGTTACAAGATAGTGTTCTTCTCGTGCTGAACAGCTCGAAAAACGAAATAGCAGATAGCTAGCTGTATCATAGCTGTTGCCTATTCACAGGGACGCGGCGTCGTTGTCTAGGATCTTTTTTGCCGCTCGAGAAAGATGTCGTCGTAGCAGCGCACAAGGATTAAATTAGCTTAGCAGTCGCTGCAGCGTGTTAATTGCTTTTTGTATATAACACAAGAGAGAGAAAGAGAGAGAGAGAGATAGAGCCCATCCTAAGAACGCTCAAGCTACACCAGCTATCATCTTCTTGTATATAATACTGGGTTGTGTATAACGTCTGTTGGTGTGCTGCGGTTGAAAAGAATCGAAGCCGAGATATATCCTGGTATATATATACCTGCTCTCTTCTTGCCAAGAGAATAATGTTGATGGCTAGTCACCGAGCAATATCCTCCGAAGTATATTGAATTAGCTCGGGGCAGAGCTAGAGAAAGGAGACGCTAATGGATTTAGCCGCACGAGAGATATATAGAATTAGAGAGAGAGAGAATACAAACTAGTGCAAACTAGCCGGAGGCGGCGATCGACCTGCTGTCGACGACGACACAAGTATAGCAGTACTAGTAGTAGTATTATATACACACTATAACACAAAGCAGATAAATAAAGCAAACTTTTCCGAGTGACTTGTCCGCCGTTGAATTTTCTGCTTGCTGTTGTTGCCGTCAAGGAGAGAGGAAAGGAGGATGACCCCTGTACAGATCACGGCAGTGCAGTAAGAAACTAGGCTGCGAGCAGCGTCCAAGTTTTCTCTCAGCGAGCTCTGGAGCTGTGTGTTGTCCCCTCTCAACGGCAGATATACACTTGGAGCAAAGCGAGCTGTCCGTATATTACATTTTTTACTCTGTGTGTGCAGTGTGCCGCTGATGCAGTACAACTGCACTGATTGATCATTCTTGTCTCGGCTCTCAGCCTTATATTATGAACTCGAATCTCCAACATCAAAGCGTCCCGCTGTTCTTTTCCTTTCTTTCACACCTACGGATTTTTTAATAAAAAAAATTGTAATTATGAGAAGAATCGATAAACTCCGTTATTTTTTCAACTCGAGCTTCGAAATGATATTAACGTTTATGTAATATGATGGAAGACACCTCGTGTTATATCTCGCGAATACAATCGGTGCAGAGAAGACCTATACATAAATATAATACGGGTCAACTCACGCAGTTTATCACGAGGAAAATTTTATGCTCTGCACTGCGAGCCCTTCCAACGCAAGATACAATATATTATCCACGAATTTATATATACACCCGACTGAAATATTCGTTGACAATTATTTCGGTAACCGCAAGTATATAGTAATAATATACTGCGCGCAAGCGACGTGGAGAGTACCCCACCCGGCCTGCTGTGCAACTGCCGATATAATCACCCTCGACGATCATCGTTCGAATTTATCGCGCTGCGATATGTATATAGTGTGCTTGCAGCAGCAGCAACGGTTGTATTTTGACGCCTCTGCCCTCCTCCTCCTCGCCCATTATATTTTGTGTGTGCTTAAAATATATACACAGATACCTCGCACTTTTGCATCTCGCTCGCATCGTGTGACTTGAAGCGTGCGAAGCATTGAAAAATAAATTATATCGGTAATTGCTGCTGCACTTACCCCAACTTGTCACATTTTTGCACGCTCTTCTATGGATAATGAGGGCGCGGGTACACCGCTTGATACATATTTTATGTATTATTATTGCGCGCGATCGAAGGCACGTAAAATAATGCTGCCAATGATCGCGCGACGGCCTGCATAATTATATGTATGACTATTTGACTCGCGATCGCAGAGCAGCGCGCCAATGAAAGTTCACTGAGCTACTGGTGACTATTTTTGTACATCGCAGCACTCGATTATTCATGCAACACAGTTTCACGAGAAAGAGAGAGAAAGAATCGAGAGTAGATTTTACCCATTCATACATGTAGAGATATAAATAGCGTTTATTACTTGATTAAAATTAATGAGTCAATGATATCACTCTTGATACTTATTATATGTTTTTTTTTGTTTTGACTTGTGTTATAGGTGACTGGGATCGTCGGCAGAGCCGACGTGCTCGCCTGCGTCTTCTTCTTGTTGTCTTTCCTCGCTTATCACGGGTAAGTGCACCAAATCAAATATCTCTATACTTTATTGCACACGTATACATAGATATCAGGTACTATTGCCTTCTAAAGCGCAATGTCGTGTATGTAGCTGCGCAGTTGCTTTTATGACAATGACGAATGCACGGATAAATCGACATCATGCTTGCCGAGCTCTGTAGCCCGAGTCGCATATTTAATTAATATACGCGGGACTATGCATAAAGCTGTGTATGACGTTTCCACTTCTTTTTTCGTGCTTCGTGTACGTATACTGCACTTTTTGTTTCGTTGACGACATGAACTCGCGGCTGGGTATATACGAAATGAAAGGAAGTAACAAATAATCATCTAAAAATAGAGGGACAAAAAAGTTAAGCCGGATATACATGCGAAGGCAAAGAGAAAGAAAGAGAGAAAGAGAGAAACAAAATTAGCACTTGCTCCTCGCTTGGCTTTTTATGCGGGTAATGGGTGTAATACATACACCAACACATTTCTACTGTCGAAAAATGACTCAACTTGTATGTCTTTCCAACATGCACACGTACAGAATTCGCACGCATTATATCAAGCCCTCCATGAATAGTATACACTAGCAGCAACAGCAACATAGGAGGAGAAAAGCGAATTTACCCGCGTCGCAAGCTAGTGTGTGTATAAGTGCGTGTCTCTATGTGTATGAGTGTAGTGCACGCGAGAATTGGCGCGCTTGCGAGCTTTTAAATGATGAATGGTCGTTGCCTCGCTCGCGATGCCACTGCCTGACCTATATTTGCTTAAGCATAGAGAGAGATAGTGAGAGCTGCGAAATGTAGCTTGATATAAGCGCGCCCTTCGTACAAGCAAAAAAAGGGCGAAAAACTGCAGTCGGAAAGAGCCGAGATACGGAGGGAGAAGAGCGTCAATATTTGAGTATCGTTGATAACGCATTAGTTTTTCGTGTTTTTTAATGATCGTTACGTATACACTCGATCGTACAACGTAACCTCAAAATGCTCGTGTAAGTTTACATTCTCGCCTCGCCCACCTGGATCTCTTTGCACAAGCTCGCACACACATACACACTTACACACGCGTCCGTGTATACTTGATTCAGCTTTAATTAACAGCACGAGGCGTGCGGGGTGGGTGAGCGGCGCGAGCGAGCTTCCGACCGAGAGAGCTAACGACGAAAAAGAGAGCCAAGAGAGAATGAGAGAGAGAGAAAGCGGAAGATAGATATGCACACGTCTAACGATGCATTATGCATGAATGCACGTGCTCAATAAGTCAGAACGCGCGCGCGCCGCGTATCATATATGAATACATAGCACGCATAGCAGCAGAGCAGTAGCAGCAGAAGCGACATCAGAGCGAGCAGCTGAGAAGCGCAGATTTTTTTTGCCCATATCCCGGCGTAGCAGCATCGGTAGCGCAGTGGCGGCGGGAGCACGAAAAAATGAGCCTCAAAGCGGCGAGTCTGTGTGTGCAGTGTGCGGCATGAGGGCTGGGGCCGCACTCGGCTATTTCACGCGAGCCATGCATAAAAGCAGTGAAAAGTTCTCTCGCTCGCTCTCTGACCATGATGCGCCGCGCAAGCTCTCGTGCCGCGGTAGCAGTCTCGCAAGCTCGCTTGTTAAAACGCGCTTACCGCACTACTAGATTGCAAGCTATAACCAAATGGCCGAGAGGGAGAAGAAACGCGTGATTCATTTTTTTTTTCTTTTTTCGCCTTTTTTTTGGTGGTGCCCGAGCTTTTGGGTGGAAGCACGAGCGAAACTCGTGACGCGTGTGCATAAAGAGAGAGTGGCGCGTGGCGGGCGGGATATAATCATCGATTCTGGGCTCGCGAGCACGATCAGCAGCGCGGAGGGGTTACTGTGTGTGTTATAAATCTCGAGAGCAGCACGACTCGAGCCCGCGGTGGCCCGCGGTGAAGGAAATTTATATATTCACGGGGCAGTGAGCGAATATAACCGATGGGTATACATTAGTTATTTACACATCAAGGGCTGTATGCGGTGTGGATACAGTCGAGGTGTGTTTGCAGCGTTGGGGCGCTGTAGTCGCCGAGGCTGCGTAGCGAAGCGAAGCAGCCGAGGCACTACAGCGTCCGCAACGCTGCAAACACGCTGAGACGTATCCACACCGCTAACAGCCATTGATGTGTTAACAATTTTTCTGCATAAGAGCTCGTTTTGAGAACTATATCATGCATAATTGTTATGTTCCATTTAATTTCTTTATAGCACTCTAAACTAAAAACTGTAACTTGGCCGCTAGTTTTCGGCTCTCGTCTACATACTGTATATGCGTATGTCTCGTGTAAAATACTGTACATGCAACTTGTGTGGATATGTTTTTTCTGAAAAACGAGAGGTTGCATAAAGCACTGGTTGTGCCAACTTGAATCTCATTACACTGATTTTCCTAGTGTCTTGATGAGTAGAGTCGGTATAACATCGGTCACGCTGCATTTCTTTCCATTATTCAGTTTCTACTGCTTCATTTTTACAGTCATCGTGTTTAGTGCGAACACAAACATGAATTAAAAATGACATTTCTATCTCGTGTAGATATGTTTGTATTCAAGAAAGAGAGGTTAAAGGCAGCGCGAGTTGGCCTGCCACTTTGACATGTAGCAGACAGCACAGGCTACACGCACGCGAGCTGAGCGAGTCGTCTCGGCTCGAGTCTGCGGGATCGCATACAGTCGAGGAGAGCAGCGCGCTACGTGGCGACAATTCACACTTCTCCTCGACTGTAATCAGGGCTCCTCGACTGTAATCAGGGCTCCTCGACCTGTATTCAATTGATTTCAGTACGAGGAGAAGTGTGAATTGTCGCCACATAGCGCGCTGCTCTCCTCGACTGTATACGAATGCCTTACTCACTGAGCACGCTCAGCGCGAAATCAGCCTCAAACGGGCTCGTATGCTGAAAAAGATCATAGCGCCTAGTGGCTGCTACCGCTGCTGCTTTTTCAAGCATAAAAAAAGCGATCCGCGCTCTGGGTTATATAAGTGCCACGTGCGTATATCCTCTATCCAGCGAAGGAGGAGGAGGCGTCGCCGCGAGACTCCACGGTGCGTGAAGAGAGATAAACTACTAGCTGCACCTTAGGAAAGAGACCAAGACCTTTGCTCGCCGCTGTCTCGTGCTACCCATTGGCTCGTGCAGGGGTGGCGGTATGCTATATACCTCTTATCTCTTTTGCGCGCTGTACACACACACAGGGCGCGAGATCAAACTTTGGCCATTTGTCTCCCGCGCCGCGTTGACTATATATACGGTGTTTCGCCACTGCACCACGCGTCTTTCTGTCTTTGAATTACTCGAGAAAGATGCATCTCGTTGGCGGTGGGTTAGCTTGAACTGCTGACGCTGTATTATCCGTTATTAATATCATATAAATGTGGCGCCTACTTCTACTGTAAAATTAAAGTAACTGATACTGACTTTTTTAAGGTACTTTTTTAAATTGAAGCTCTTCGAATAGCGTGAGCAGCAAATGAAAGTCTGCACGGGCATGCCACTTTTTCTAATTCGCCACCTCTCACATATACAGAAACGGATATATTTTATAATGTACTATGCGAAGGGTTGAAACAAGAGAAAGGGCATCTATATATTTAAATTCAGAGGCGCGCGTTATGGCGATTAATTTGAAACGAGGCGCCGATGGCCCATACAGCTATATACACATAATAGCGCCAGACCGCGAGGCCTGTGCGCGTATTTATCTATATATACGCTCGTTCGCGACACGAATGTTCCATTTGGCAGATTAAACTCATATATACTATACATACATAGATTGAAAAGGATCGAGCAGTGCGCGCGGCGCGTGAATCGAATTCAATCCTTAATCGCCGAACTCGCGCGCATTGGCTACTAGCTGCTAGCTGTGTATATATAGTTCCCTTATTTATAAACGTTCACGCGTATATAGATACACTTTCACGCGGCGCATTATATAAAGCCGAGGATAATTGATCAAATTTTTCGTGCTATGCATCTATTGCGTTGGTGCACGTACGTAGTGGGATAACTATTTGTGCGATGCACGATGTATATCTACGTGAGTTTATATTATGTGATTATCTAATCAAGAAGATAGAGAGAGAATATAATAATAATATAAAATGTATAAATCGTGCGTGAATTGAGAAGAAACAAGCGTATAATAATCGTTCCAGGTCGAAATGTTAAACATTTTATAGTTAGATTTTGGTTAAATAATAAGTTTCTATGAGGCAAAATAGCCATTAGAACTGAATATTTAATAATAACAAGTGTTACGTTTCTTGCTACAGCCGTATAATACTTTTTGTTACTTTTTGTTCTAATTATTGATTAAATTTTGACAATATAAATTCTTAAAATTTATAAAGCTAACTTTAATAGACGATGTTGGCATTTTTACACAGAAATTATTTTGACTTATTCTAGTTTTCCAACTTTGCCACTTGCAGATTTATAAATAAAGGTATTCGCCATCTTGCGGTGGAAGCTCGATATTATTACATCGTATTTGAAACGATTGAAATGTTTTTCTAGGGTCAATTAAAATTCGTTCAATATATTTCAAAATATTAACACATTCAAAAAATTTTCAAACGGCTATTGTTTTATCATTAGGTCAGTTGTTTTTACCAGTTGTACGCACGTACAACTGGGTGTGCGCACAATGATCACTATTCAATTATTTTCATCAATTTTTGAGAAAAAATCCCGATCCACGAGGATTCAATTAATTTATATCAACTCGTCCGAGAGCAGTTAATAATTGTTGCAATTTTTCAATCGAATTTTTATTATCGAATATTCCGTTTTTTCGTTGCAGGCAGCAAACTGCGTACGTATGGAGCAGCATCGGCTTCGGGGCACTGTCGATGCTCGCCAAGGAGACCGGCGTCACCGTACTGTCGCTCAATCTTCTTTACGACCTCTGTCGCTCTTGGCATTCCGTGAAAAAGTGAGTATCCCAACGGATCAATGCAAAGATTGAATTGAAAATAATGATATTAAAAATTTACCGATATTAAAGCATAAATATAAACTGATCATCGTCTCGCGTTTACGGTTACAGGTCTATTTTCGAGGCTAAATGGAACGACGAGTCGCGCCTGTTTACACGGAGGGCTGCCACTTTGTTGGTTTCGGTAAGTCGATGTGCTGCAGAATATACATACATCTATATCATACTCACACACGCGCGTTCCAACCCCCGTTGAACACGTGTATAATTACATTTAGACACACGTACGGCCTGCGTCCTGATCCCCCGCAGCGATACACTCTATATATTGGGTTAAATACCCACAAACATATGTGAATACTCGACGTATAAATGAAGCCATACGCGCGCGCCGCTGATGTCTCTATATATATTCAATATCCACACCCACACACGCTTTATATTATGTATAGTACGTATATGTACGCGTCGATCGATCATCAGCCGCGGCTGAAACCAGTCGAGTATATTTACTATCGCGAGCGACGCCTGCGTGATCATTCCATTTTTTTTCTTCACCTGCATCGCAAAGAGACGTACGCGAGTGATCCTATTAGGGCCTGTCCGATCGAATCCACCGAAGCTTTTTTTGCGCTTGCGGACCGTATAAGTGGTGAAAGACTACTGTATTATATGGCTCGACACGGGGCCGAGTTGAAATTTACAACTCTGCACGCGAGCTGTAAAGAGCGACAGTGGGAGAGGAAAACAATTCGACGAGATAATTTTATAAAGCGTTGAAAAAAACTTTGATTTAAAAAAAATAGTATAAACTCCGGATGAACGCGTGAGTTTTAAATAACAAAAAAAAGAAAGAAATTGAATGAAAAAACAAACAAGCGAAAAAGCAACAAGAACGAAATCTCGGGTTTTGTATACTTTCTCGTATCTCTGTCTCTCTATTACTTATTTTCTTTTTTGTTTTATAGAAGCTCTCGTGTGTACGCTTGTGCATGCGCGTAGATGCAAATAATGCTGGGGGCAATAAATCCCATTTACGCGCCGTAAATGCTGCGCTGCACGCGTACATACATGATTTGTTATCATGCACACCTAACACTATATGGCCAAAGTTCTGACAGGCCTGTGTGCCATCGATGCATTGCTGGATTTTTATACAAATTGATAAAATTTTAAAAGCTAGGTGTATCGGTTTAAACTTGCTTTTTTGATTCAATTTTTTTTTATTTTTCCATAGAGCGCGAAAGTTTTTGAACGGAAAATCAATTTTTTTACTGGATGTGATTATAGATGAAAATTGTGATTTGCCAATTTCAAGCGCAAAATGTATGCAAATTGCATTTTGAACAAAATATTTTACAGACGATAAACTTTTTAGTTCGACAAATAAACGAGTGGTGTGAATCTTCATTTTTTTTTTTTTACAATAAACATACACAAGCACAAGAAGACATTAATTTTTTTCATTACTCAAGGGGGGAAAAGTACCTAAAATCTCGAAATAGTATATTACGTGACAAGGGACGAAAGTCGAACTTCCGTCCCTGCGAGGTTATGCACCCGAGGCGAAGCCGAGGGTGCAAGCTCGCAGAGACAGGCGTTTGACTTTTGTCCCGAGTCGCGTATACGATTTTTCTTTATCCCCGCTCGAAAGTACGTTTGCTTAACATAGTTAAGAAATATTTTATTAAAAAAAATTGTATCTATGAATTTACGCTTACATGGCAAAGCCCGCCGACATTTGCGGCCCGAGCGCAGCGAGGGCTGCTGGTCGACGGCGGGCTTTGCAACAAATATCATCAATAATAATGTTTATTAGTACATAACTAATATTATTAATAAACAATTGTAAATCATAGATAACTATGGCGTTAATAAAACTCAAACGATCCCGTAAAGTATAAGCATGAATTAGTACTATATCAATGAAGTAATTCACTCAATCTGAGGTAGACAAGTAGAAACTTGAGTGACCTAGAATATTGTTTAAAGTTGAAAGAATTTTTCAAAATATATTATAAAAATTAACATATTTTGACTGTCTTTGTTGTCTTAGATCTCATTTTTTATTGCAACTACCATCTTTAACGATTTAAATTTCGAATTGGAATTGAATATAATGAAATGTGTACGTCAAATTATGGCTATTCAATTTTGATACTTCATAGAATTGTTAGTCTTTTAATATTTATTCAATTTGGCATATGTACGTCATAAACAAAGTGAATATAATTCATCTATTGCATAGTCGAAACCAAACGATAATTGAAATGTAGGTTGCCGTAGTCATGGAGATAATAACTTTCGCGCGATATTGACGGGGAGCAAAAGTATTACTTTCGTCCCCGAATTCGAAGATGAAAGTACGTACTTTCGAGCATGGGATGAAGAAAAAAAATTTGAGAGACAGAAATACACGTCGCTGCAAAGTCGCTACAGTCACGGATGTCGAGCAGTGCAACTTGCCGCAGCAGCCAAATTTTTTGATCATACGAGGGCCAGTCGATTCCATAACGCACTCCGGGAAATTCCGGCACGACTTATGGAAACGTTCGTTACTTGCTGTGCCGGGAATAAAAGGATGGCGCTACTCGAAGTACACGTTACGACGCGCCGAGATATGGCCTCGAGTCTCGACTGCAGCGCCAAGCGCACGGTGGCGGTATCATGAACTGGGGGAGATCTAGAAATGTGTACGATTGAATGTATTTACATACAAAGTCACGAAGGCACCCACCATAAACAACTGATAAATAAACAATCATTGATAATACCACATTACATTGATAAAACAAGCATTTCTGCGAGTTACTCTTTAGGCAAATAGTTTATTATCTGTAGGGAAATAATAAAAAGGCACTTGTGTTACGCCATTCTTACTTTTGCAATCACGCATACAACACCTTTTTTACTTTTTACTTTTTTCACTTCAGTTTTCAATCCTTTTTTACTTATAAAAAATGCAACTACTCGTGGTTTCTAATGTATTTTTATACATTAACTCTCACTAGCATTGACCGCTCACAGTTCATTTGCCTGATACCATGGGCGCTACATGTCACAGACTCGAGGCCAATAGTTCCTCGCTGCTGTCATTGGAAGTATAACGTGGATACCTGCGGTGGAATATAACCCTGTTATTTCTCTCCGAGTAGTCCAAAAAAAATTTTTTTCTTCATTTTTGATAAATTTTTTATAAATGTAGGTTTAAAGTAGCTTTCCCCCTTAAATACAGACAATTTGGCTCTCTGATAACTCGGCTGCAGCAGATAATCGTGCATTAAATTTCATTTATTATAATACGCCTGCACGAGAGCTTATGCTCATTGAGGTGGAACAAAGGGCCTCGTGCAGATCTCACAGCTAAAAGGCTACACGCGAACTCGCGCGCGATCCCTGAATAATACTCGCGGCAAGATTCGGCTTCGCAACGTATATGTACATGCCTCGGCGTACAGTGCGCACTAATTCACACACGCGTACACGTATATCCGCGGAACAAGGGGCTAATTACCGCGATATTATTGTATTATCTGCTCGAAAAGAGAGGCTTGTTGATACAACATGTCGGTTGAATTATTAGCGAACGCGAGCGTTTGTAATGTTGAAATTATATTTACAAACGGGCATTGTAATTAAACAATTAGTCTGTATAGTTTTCTTACTGTAAGAAAGAAAACTTTTGTATATTAACGCTGGGCCTCGATAGTTGAAGTTTTTGTAGTTTTATTAAAAAAATTATTAACGTTTCGCCGTTTATATACAGTCCAATTGGAATATATACGTATAAATATCGTCTACGACGCTTACAACTCAACTCAGGCAATTCAATATTTCAAAAAAATTACATGCGGTTTTTAGTGAAATTTCGTTCAAGTTCTAATTCTAGCGGATGCTTTTTACCCAGCCATGCTTATCCATTTTGAAAACGATTTATGACTTTGTCGTAAAATGTAATGTACCAAAATTCACTTTAGTCCAGGCGTTATATTGAATTATGAGCTTTTTTATTCCATCAACAGATAGAGTATTGTAAACTGGTTAGCGGTGAAACGACTTCCCGATTAGCATATAAGACATCTTGCTCGAAGGAAAAGGGATGTGTACATATTACTCATCTACCATTGAACATTGACGACCAAACGAGTCACTGTCAACATCCTGCCATTGTAATTGGCATGGCGTTGAATCGGTGTAGGCACCATCTGTCCCTCTGCTGCTCTGCGTCGTCCTGGCAGTCCTGACTCTGCGCCCGCCACAGCACGTGTGGCTGCACGTCACGAATCGCATCACTCCGTCTATTGGTCTTTGTTGACGAGAAAGATTTTACATCCGATGGGTGAGTTCGTAAGATTTTCATGAACGTGTTCAGCACGAGATGTAAATCTTTCGGCAGATTGTCCATACCTACGCCAAAATCACCTATCAATGAATTTCATTAATATTAGGCGCTACTCTCGTGTAGCTTGGGGCGCGAGAGAGAGATATTGTGGGCGATCGCAGACAGTACAGTCCATTACGTACACGTGCACGCGAGCGAGAGTTAGCAGCCCACAATCGCTCTATTGTATTTGACTACACACGCACGCACACACATGCATACATATAAATACATAGAAAGAGGCGCGCATCGGCGCTGCAATCGAGATAGACATCATTACGTAATCCGATGGGCATTAGAGATTTTGATGAGTTTTGACTCTACTCTTCCAGTGTGCCGCAAGCTTAACCACGTACATAAGCACACAAAAGCACACGTCGTGTGAATGTGTGTGCGTGTGTGTGTGTGTGTGTGTGTGTGTATGTGTGTACAATAATAGGAGAGGACGTTTCTCTTTGTGTGTCTGTGCGTGCGTGAGTGAATGTACGCGTGTGGTGCAGTGTCGCGCATTAAATCACTATCAGGGACAGTTTAAATAGCCTCGGAGTTCTCTCCAGCTCACAATATATACAGAAGCAGCAAGAGAGAGAGAGAGAGAGAGAGAGTTAGCCGAATTTGAGCCATTACGGATATAAAGCTTTCGGCTAACAGCAGCAGCCATACATCTACACGCGTAATTCTCATCTATACGGATGCGCAGAGCGTTATATAGTACACAAGCCATGTGTATACGTGTATACTACAACGGAGGGCATAGGCCCTACGCTTGTTTGTAATCCAACGTCGCTTATGCTTACTAAATGCGTATATAGGCTTGCAGCAGCTCTAGCTGTATCCATGCTGCTGCTGCTGCTGCTGCTGCTACTGCTGCTGTGAGCTTGCACGAGGCAAACGGGCGGGGGTGGGTTGGCGCGCGTGATGCGAATCTCAAGCTCCCTGAGTGCCATGCTGCCGCCGCCGTCGCCGCCGCGTCGCTGCAGTGCTGCTGCTGCTGCTGCCCCAGCGTATACTGCAGAAGCAGCTGTATATATACTATATAGAGCGCCGTTGCCGGTAAACGTACCCTTACGTATATAGGTATACATATATTATGTGTACGTACGTCCGCATAAACGGCATGACTCTTGTTATGTGAGTGTATGTGTATAGCAGACGTTTTCCACTTCTGTAAGCTCGCAAGCTTGTCGTATATATATGGGCTATATCACGTCAACTGTCCCCCCTCAGTTTGATTTGATTTTTCATATTTTATTCTGCTTCCCAAGGATGAATATGGAAAAGTTATTGAAACATGATTTTTTATGTAACATTTGATGAGGAATTCAAATTTGATGTCAAAAATCATATTCATAAACTCCAAGTACCTTAATTTCTTACTTTCAACCTCAGTGACAAAAATAAACATGTTCGTATCCAGCGATATGGCCAATATTGTAATATGTTCATCGATACACCAAAATACAACTTTTGATAAACTTTGGTCATCGGCAGACAAACATACTTCATTATTGAACTTCATATGATATGTGATACAGTATTGGCCATATCGCTGGATACGTACATGTTTATTTATGTCACTGAGGCTAAAATTTATAAATTAAGGTACTTGGAGTTTATGAATATGATTTTAGACATCAAATTTGAACCCCTCATCAAATTTTACATAAAAAATCATGTTTCAATAACTTTTTCATATTCACCCTTGGGAAGCAGAATAAAATATGAAAAATCAAATTCAAACTCAGATACAAGAGGGGAGGGGGGGGGGTCAGTTGACGTGATATAGCCCATATATACAAGCGTGCCGCAATACATGTATAATAGCTCGCCCTCTCCACCTTACGTACGAGCTTTATACTTCTCGAATGTACCCTTTTTTACGGCCGATATTTTGATTTATTTCCTTCGATGCTGCCACTATAGCTGCTGCTGCTGCTAAGCTCGATTCGCAACAACACGTATTTCCGAGATGAATTTCCAGGCCTCGTTGTAGTACCCTATTCTCTATCTATGGCTATGTAGTAGTATTATATAAACTCCGGCTTTTGGCATCGATCTGCAAGATTTTAACTTTAGCCGGGGCACGTGTAACGAGCGCACGTTCGGACTACTACTATCACTACGACTACGAGATCATAAATACGGATTTTCGTGCGAGCTCAAAAAAGCCCTAACGGTGAGCCGGCAAAAGTAAAATTTGTGTATATTGAAAGAATGAAGAATAAGTGAACATCGTTTAGATTACGAAGATATGTCTAGATATAAATGCCGAAAGAGAGAGAGAGAGAGAGAACTGCGACCGTGCGGATATTTATCGAAATTGAATTTAGTCCTGCTCTTCTTTTCAATACACGCGTGTGACGAGCTTTTTTTTCTCTTTCATCTGTGCTTCGTCCAGCTCGTAGACGCGCGCGTGACCCGGCCGGCTCTCATGTATAACGTATTTTATATTCCTCGCCTCTTCTCTCTCTCTCTGTCTCTCTCTGTCTCTCTCCTCTACGATCTCCTCTCATCCGATAATCTCGAAAGATTTTTACGCGCGCGTGAACTCCGCATGCATGTAAATAAATTCGACACGCAAGCTTTATATTTATGCACACGTACGACGAGCGGCCGTGCGCGTCGCGTATTATGTTAAACGAGAAATCCCCGGTGCCCCACACACACACACACACACACACACACACACACACCTACACATCCTAAATCTATGGGTGTGATACGATATCCTTTCAATATAAAGACATCCCCGATGCGCGCGGGCGACCGGAGCTGTTTTTGTTCAGGATTTAGCCGTGCGGCTGCATGCGGATAGTAGTAAAGTTAGAATTCAATCGGGCAACCGAGAGCTAGCTCAGCCTCAGCCAGCTGACGTGTGTATGTATGTATGCGCTCTCGTGCAAGCTTATCCCCTATTCAGAGGTTGAATTCTACATGATAAAAAATATATTGGACGAGTATATTATACAGACTTGCTCGTGCGCGGGTACGTCTCTTTCGCTTCTCTTCTTCTTTTTTTTTTATATACGTTCGCTTGACCGATCTCTGCACGCGACTCGCAAGCCTATAGATACCTCACATACACGGGGGTCGAGCTTTTTTTCTATCTATCTATCTCTCCATCTCTCTCGCTTTCTTTCTTTCTTCGCCACCGCACTGTGAGCCAACTCGAGCGAAATCCCTCGGCCGCCGATATGAATTCGATATTGTACGTCACGAGTGTACGCGCGGGCGATATCGTATGGCTTCGGAGTCGTCGCTGTTCGTCGTCGTCGTCGTCGTCGGTGTGCATATGTGATTTGCAACATCACCTCTATGCGAGGTACTACCCACCCCTCTTATGTATGTATGTATAAAGCTGCCGCACGAAAAATTTGAAAGAGATCGTCGAAAGATCGACGACTCGGCTATTATCCACTCACTGACAGTCGCGAATCAGCGCGAAATCTAATACTCGAATAAGAATAAAAAAAAAAGAAAAAGAAAAAAATGCATTCATACGTAAAATAAAAAATATATACGTGTAATATTCATACACATATGCGATTGTTGTTACAGCTCGGAGTTCTGCTTGTGCTGAGGCTCGCTCTGCTTCATGGCACACTGCCTAAGTTCTCGCCGCAGGATAATCCCGCCGCCTTTCATCCTTGCTTTCACGTGAGGTGAGTAAACATGCACCATCTAGATGGTATATAGCTCGGTGAGCTAGCTCTGGCATACATTCATGCATGCGTATGTGTGTGTGTATGTGGCAGTTATAATATGTGCACAACACTTTAAGCAAACAACCTTTTCCGTAATCTGCCCATCCGAGCTCGACGCGGCTCCCATCCATGACCCTCTTTCTTTCTTTCTTTTTTTTTTTTTTTTCTTCATGCATTACATTTTTTTTATACTTTGCTCATGCTATCTGTGCCCAACGAGAAAGTAGGGTAATTTTATTCATTCGAGCGAAACGTTAAATTGAAATTCTTTCCTCTTTTTTTCTCTCTTTCTTTNATTTCGTATCGACGTGTACGCTGTACTGCCGTGTGCGCACATACACACAATCTTCTTACCGAGCGAACTCGCTTTTTCCGGCTTATCTTCTTTTCTTTCACTCGATACAAATCAAATTATTCTAGACACATGGTTTTGTTGCGCGCGCGCGAGTAAAAGAGTGAGAGCGAAAAAAGTCAGTTTATCCTGCTGCGCAGACTGATTGGCTGCAAAAGTAGCTGTCGCTCTTCCTCTCTCTCTCTCTCTCTCTCCGCTGCTAAAAGAACAAACATCAACCGAAGAGCGAGTAAATAAAAAAAATTTTCTCGCGCTAGAAACAATCAATATGTGATACATCGCGCACTTGTGGGTACGAGCACGGCGGTGTTCTCATTCGAAAATATGCGCTCGCACATTGCTGATTAAAAGCCGCAGCCGCAAACTCGTGTGTACCAGCTTGGCATAATTCTTGAGCCAAAAAGCTGACTTTCGCGAGCTTTTACGTTCGAGCTTGCAACAATAAAATGCATTTGTGGGGAGCGTAAGACGAATAAGTTCCGTGTATGTATACGAGAGCTTCAAGATCGTTTTAAGGCTCGCGCGCACACGCTTACATATAAAATATGGCGTTTCATACTTGACTGTATATTCGTGTATACATGAGCGGGGTAAGGCGAAAATTCAGATGAGTATATTTGTGCTAGAAAGAGAGGGAACAATTTTGTTGTGTAACCGTAAAAAAGTGCACGCTCGTCTATTCGTATGAAGTTTTCCTTGTGTACGGTTGGAAGTAAAATAAAAAGGACACAACAAAAAGAGAGCAGCCGTTAGCTCGAATGAAGACGTAGATAAGATTTGCTGTTTATGCACATTTGTGGTGGCCGTAGCTTTTATTCTCTTATACGCTAGCTGTCGGGCATACGTCTTCCTGTATGTATATCTTTTTTTCGTACACAGCCGGACAAATTCTAATACGTCTTCATTCAATCACTCTCTTATTCTCGTTTCGTCTGTTGTTTTTATTCATTTCTTCTCTTTTTTTGGAATTTTTTTGTTATGTGCTCGTGAGTTGTGCGCAAAAATGTATACAACAGTCAGTGTTGAATTTAGTATTAATGAATTTATATTACTGAAATATACCACACTTCGACTTATACAATTATTTTGACTTTGTCACTTGCAGATTTACAGATATCGGTATACTCTTGGTGGAGACTGAAAGTAGTATTACCGAATAAAAAGTAATCTAAAACTGGTCCAAATTTTTTGAAACAGTCGAATGATCATTTTAAGATCATTTACATTGTGCATAATTATTGTAACATAATTACCTCCAAAAACATACTAATTAATACTTATGTACTTTAAAACATTCTTAAAAATCTGCAACCTAAAAGTAGTAACTTTCCCGCTATCATTTACAGCTCTCGTAATAAAATACTACTTGAACGGTATTATTTTGGTCATCAGGCCATTATTAATGTTGAGCATATTTCTACCGGGGTTATATACTCATTGATTAATTGAATGCAAAGAGGCTTAATCTCTCGACATTAACCAGCAATCTGGGACGATAATTAAAGACTCGGCGGTTTTGCTCGTGAACTTTCAGAAGCTTTTTTAAGATAGAGAGAGAGAGACCATAAAAAGTTGAAAACTTGCCCGAGCGTCGAAGCATCAAATAAAAGTGAGGAAAAACCCGACGAGTAACTCGATTGCTGAATAAAGGAAGAGCGAGAATGGAGGAAGAGGTATACACGTGAACGCGTGGCGCGCTTATATATATTATAGGCACACTGCTGCAGAGAGTCACATTGGCGAGGAGTTAAAAAAGACGTTGAGCGCTCTTAGCGCGTCGGTTTTTCACTCGTTTTCGCTTGGCCACTGCCGCACACACATAAACACCCACACACATAGACCGCGAGTTAAAGAAAAGGGTCTGAAATAGGTTTTTACAGCTTTTCGGCTGTTTAACGGTGGCAATAGCAATGAAAGGAAAAAAGAAGAAAATAAAGAAAGCCACGCGGAGCAAAGAAAAAAAAGCGGTTTCGATTTCCCAGCCGAGGCTTATCGGCGCCGCGCGTTGTATATATAGTACAAACGATGAAAGAGCCGCAAGTACAAGGACGCGCGCCACGGCGGAGTAAACCGCGAGACCGTGCGCTCGACTGCGGCTCCGCGCGCGCGCGTACTGCGCCGTAAAAACCGATACATCGGCAGCAGCGGCAGGGCACAGCACACGACGCGCCGAGCCGAGCTAGCGTTTTTATTGCTCGTGGGCTTTACATTTCAAGGTAGAGCTGAAGCACACGAATTTCCCGATATACGTGCATGTGCACTGTGTACCACCACTACCACCACCAGCGCCAAACGTTTTTTTTACCTTTTTCTTCTTTTTTATTTCATTTTATTATATTTTTTTTTTTAATACAACCTGCAAGCACTAACCCTAGCTTATATGTACGCCGCCGATGCTGCTATGTGCTTGCGCAAAGGCATAGGAAGGTGCACAGAACCATTTATATATAATCGTCGTAAAAAATAAAAGGCTCTTCCTCTTTTTTTTCGTTGCTACATGGCCTCGATATTCACCCACAAATTATTGCAATAAAACCGTTTGCCAATTTTATTGTTTTGCCTCTCTTCCTCTCTTGTGCGTGTAAGTGTTTGATATCCATTGTCATAAAATTTTGGGCATATAACGTTCGGCATGGGTAGCTATATCCAGAGTTTAAAGTTCCATAAATCGCGAGGGGATAAAAATTGGCCGTTTCGTGCGAAGGAGGAGGAGTAGTTTTTAAATTGCCGCATGATATTTGCCATGCACACGTATATTTTATTTATATCTTTTCAAACGCCCTATGGGATCGAATGAGAGAGAGAGAGAGAGAGAGAGAGAGAGAGAGAGAGAGAGAGAGAGAGAGAGAGAGAGAGAGAGAGAGAATGAGAATGAAGATCTCCGCTGCAGCTTCAAGGAAGAAGTATAATGAGAATGTAATTGTAAAGTTCTGTCGTCTCTAGCTTATATATAATATATAACTATATATTATATATTTCAAATAAGGCAATAACGCTTGAGGCTATGGCAGGCTGATGCTGCGTCGTCGTCGGTCTGCCGCACAGACGGTACAACATTCATAAGCACTTAATGCACTTTAACAGAAAGTCTTTGAGTTTGCGGGGGACACAATCCTCGGCTCATCCTTCGCTTTTCTCCACCCCCTCCCCTCCTCCTCGGTTATAATACTCTTTTTTGAGAAAATCTAAAGGCAGCTAGGCAATATGCCCTGTTATATCCCCACTGCTATATGCCGCAGCAGCCGACGAGTAAAATGCTCGTAGCTATTCAGCTCTTGCGATGCTGCCATTGCATATACGCACTTTCTCCACCCCGCAGCAGCAGACAGGCAGGCAACCGTGTGGTTCCCTATTATTGCGGCTATATTATATTTCTCAACGCCTCGAGGCTACGATTTTCATTTCTCCGCCGCCACCGTGGCAAGACTTTTTCTTAACTACATTAAATAATAACCTGTTTGCCATCCTTTTTTTTTTGCTTCTTTGTATACCTTTATCTCTATATCCTGCGAGCTTGCAGCGCAGCGCTGCGATTCTCTCTTTTTTACCTACCCGAATTTCTATATCGGTGAGTCAGCGATATACGCACGAGCGATAAGATAAGTTTTTTCGTTCTTGAGGTAAAATATGAAAAATAAAAACTGAAGTTGGATGCGGTAAATAAAAATTCTCCTATCTGCAAATTTACTTCCTCGAAGGCGAGAAAAGCTTAATCTGTCATGATTCTTTTCTCTTTACTGCGGCTGTGTTGCTGCAAGAGAGAAGATGAGGTAAAATAAGCATGGCGCATTAGGGTGTCCGTTATTTCCCGACTTTTTTGTATTGCTTCTCCCCCCACCTAGATGTCTTCTATTTGATACGACAATGAGAAAGCCGGGTTACAGAGTTCGAAAAAATGATTTTAAGGTGGCCCCCAAGCGGCTTGAAGCTTACATGTATTTTAAATGGGAAAAACTTAAAAATTTGATTCTCAGCGATAAAAATGATGAAAAAATTTGAAAAAATTCGCAAACCCATGTATTTTATGTATTTTTTGACGAGGAATCGATTGGTGACCTTGAATTTGACCTTGAACATAACCTCAAAGCTACAGAGAACCAAAAATCGTTTTTTTCACAGTGACCCCCATTTTTTATTGCAGATTCGAAAAGAGCGGAAAATTTCATGTCTGATTATGTCTTTCGATTTTTTTTCAAGGGTATTCAAAAGGCGTTGCAGATATAGATAAAGCCCTAACTAGTAAAAACTCGAAAATTGCACGCTAAAATTAGGGTTTTATTTGTATCTGTAGCATCTTTATAATGCCCTTGAAAAAAAATCAAAAGACATAATTTGACTTGAAATTTTCCGCTCTTTTCGAATCTGCAATAAAAAGTGGGGGTTACCGCAAAAAAAACGATTTTTCTCAATATTTTGTTCGCTGTAGCTTTGAGGTTATGTTCAAGGTCAAATTCAAGGTCACCAATCGATTCCTCGTCAAAAAATACATAAAATACATGGGTTGCTGAATTTTTTCAAATTTTTTCATCATTTTTATCGCTGAGAATCAAATTTTTAAGTTTTTCCCATTTAAAATACATGTAAGCTTCAAGCCGCTTGGGGGCCA